TTGCAGCCCCGCCTCCGTTTTCAGATGTCTCCGTCTTTCCCCATCCACACTGAGACGGAGCAGCAGCGTTTTAGAATGAAAACGGCCTCTCTAGCGTTTTCAAAAAGCTCCGTTTTCGGCGCTCGAGAACTCCGGCGTAGTGTGGACGGATGGCGTAACCGTAGCAAAACTTATGCGTTTTCAAACTAAAACGCACTAGTGTAAACGGGGCCTAAGAGAAGTTGATGAATTGACAAGTTGTAAATCCAGCAGCTCAAATTCCCTTTGCTGTGCTTGTGGCTGGGGCATGTCATGTCATAAAAGAGACAAGTTGCCATGGAAATATAAAAGTGATGCATCCTAAATAATGTATTATGGTGGTCAGCTGATGTATTTATAACATATGTATGAGAGGGTTAAAATGAATATGGCTGAACATCAGCTTTATATAATTAAGAGTCAGACTCAAAAAAACAGAAAATTAATAAATACACTAGTTACTGTATGTAATTTTTTTGAAACTTGATTGATACTTGAGAATAAGAGTCCTCTGGATGCACAAACTTGTACCCCTAAAAAATGTAATTCACCAGCCGGATATCCTGGAACATTTAACTATTTTATGTACTTACAAAACAGTGGCTAATTCATAAAAATTCCTGCAATGTCATAAATACTTAAATACACGTTTTTGATTTTGTTTTCAAAAGAAGACACTCCCCTAACCCTACTCATTAGCATAACCATGATGGGGAAGAAACCAAACTGTAAAATGTATTCATGACATTCATCAAAAGATACAACTCCATGCAACAATCTAAAAATCATGCTGATAAAGTCCATAAAACCTATTTTAAAAATGTCCGCAACAGATATAGAGAGCTAAGACATGAGGTAATGCACATTTTTTCTTTATGTTATCAATCTTCACTGATCTTTTGACATTTTTCCTGTTCTTTCTTCTATTCATGAAGATTCTGTGTGCTTTGATATTCTGATATCAAGCAAAAAAAGGCTAGATTTCATTTTAAGATAAAATACCTCAGAATGACGATATTAGAAACTCTGAAAATCTGAATTTCTAATATGCTCTTTGCTCATGGCAAAGTTTTTTAGAATAGAAAGAAATCCCTGTGCACAAAAAGGTTATATCAATAGATATGAAACCAGTCCTTTCAAAAGAAAATACAGAAGAAGATAAAAGAGCTTTAAAGTAAAAAAGTTAAAAAAATAAAGTGAAATTATATCCGCATTTTAGCAGCAGAGGACGTAAGAGGCCCTCTTTTAGTAGGCACCACTACCATGAAATCGTTATAGACAAGCAAGTCTCTGAATGCATTATTCCACTATGCCTTGAGAAGATAAATGTCTTCAACAGAGCTGGAGTAAACCTGTCTTTTTCTCTCAGGCAACAGCCAAAGACTAAAACATGAGAGGAAAGCAACAAATTGGTACAAGGTTAAGTATCCTTTGACTAGCCCCTATTTTGCACCAAAAGCTGGCAATGAATTTTAATGTCTCGTAGCTGAGCTTTACACAATAAATCTGTGGCATCCACCGGCCTCTGCGGACAGAGGAGCGCCACTCTCATCTTGATAACTTCCACATGTGAGTTATTTAATTCAGCATGAAGTATATAAGCTGCGGTTCTGCATTGTGGTCACGCTAAAATGTCAGAACGCTGTCACTTATCCACACTCGAAAAAAAAAAATTATTTTCATCATTACAACATCCTTGTGTCCATCTGTCACAATAATTTCTGTCGTTTCATCACACTTTTATGAGTTTTCAGCGTTTCAACTTGATTTTCTTCTTCAGGAATTCAATTTACACCACAGGTTGTTAGAACTTTGGAACCACTTTTTTTTTTTAAAGCAGAGATTACATTTAAAAGGGTTAGTTAATCTACAAGATGAAAATTGGCAGGTAATTTAATCAGCCTCAGGCCAACCAAGATGAAAGTGCATTTTTACCCTCAACAGAACAATAAAGATGTTTTTAGCTGAAATTGTATTTGTTGGAGATTCCTGAAATGATAGCTAGCAGATTTGAGTTAAATAAACATATACAGTCAAACTAAATTGAATACCTGTGTCTCGAGATGATACATTGAGGTCCTATGATGTAAAATGGTGGCCTGTGCAAAAAAACTGAACATTATTTATAACAAAATTACTTTAATCCACAGCCTTGGCAAACAGTTATGATAGTCTGAACAGAAAAATTACCCACAGGAGATGGATCTTTGTAGTGGCTTATCCCACTGCTGTGGAAAATGTTTAAATCATTAGGAACATATGAGTCTGTTATCAATGATGCACAAACAAAGCATAACACTAACATTTCACTTTTTTGGGGGGGTTGTTTGGTGAGGTTATCATAATGAATATGCACTAAAGAAATATGTTTTAAATCATACAGACGAATGCTCAAATTGAATCAAGGTAACAATTGACACATTGATCATGTATAGTTGAAGAAGTCAGAATTATTAGTCCACCTTTGAATTTTTATTTATTTATTTTTTTTGTCTCTTTTATATATTTCAAAATGATGTTTAACAGAGCAAGGATGTCTACTGTCATCACAGTATGTCTGATAATATTTTTTTCTTCTGGAGAAAGTCTTATTTGTTTTATTTTGGCTAGAAAAAAAAGCAGATTTTAACTTTTTTTAAAAACATTTTAAGGTCAAAATTATTCGCCCCTTCAAGCTATTTTTTTTCAATCGTGTACAGAACAAACCATTGTTATACGATACAATTCCTAATTACCCTAATCTGCCTAGTTAACTTAATTAAGCCTTTAAATGTCACTGTAAGCTGTAGAGAAGTGTCTTGAAAAATATCTAGTAAAATATTATTTACTGTCTTCATGCCAAAGAAAATAAATCAGTTATTAGAAATGAGTAATTAAAACTATTATGTTTAGAAATGTGTTAAAAAAATCTTTCCGGTAAACAGAAATTGGGGGGGAAAAAAATTAACAGGGGGGCTAATAATTCTGACTTCAACTGTACATTTGCATTTGGATCCATCAGGTCAAGACAGGTGGTTTAGTGGTCTGTTAATAACTCCATTTATGTTTGGTGCCGCACATGAACCTACATTTATTTTTTAGATTTAAAGTTATTTATGACAAATAATTTTGATTTTACCTTTTTAAAATAGGTTGCAAAAAATTCAACATTCAGAACAGCTTAAACTTAATCCTAAATAATGTAAAAATGAATTACCTCTATTTAAAATATTTCATTTAAATATTTTACCACTTACAGTTCTCACCATAATTAAGTACATCCTATTTTGAAAATTTATATTTTTTTATTTCTTAGTGAATATAGGCAATGTATTTTGGTGCATTTAAACAAAAAAAAAGTATTTATTTACTTATTAAAAATATATATTCATTAAAACATTATTTTAGTCACCTAACAGATTAAGATTTCTGATTTATTTTTGCTTCTCTTGATTTTTCCTCTTTTTTAAATTTCTATTTAATATTTTTTTATAACATCTAAATTTGGGTGTACTAGTTTTTGGACCGTTATCGTAAGTTATTTTGTTAATAAAACTCTATATTTGGCTTCAGTACTGACTAATGTATATGCACAGATAGAATTTTGTATAGCTTCCTATTAAAAATAGGAATTTAAAAGATAGATTTGTGAGGGGTGCACTTATTTATGCTGAGCACTGTGTTAACTTTTTATACTTAAACCTTTCTTTCAAACATATTACAATTTTAGCCAATCTTTAGATCTTAATCTTTTTAATGAAATGAAATGTAATGCAAAAATAATGCAAAAATAACATAACACTTTCACATCACTTTCATTAAATGTATCTATGTAACACATTAAGATATATTAAGATTTAAGATTGAAATGTACTCAGATAAGAACTAAAACACACTATGATGTTTGGGTGTCAACCTAAACAAAGCTCAACCTAGAAGATGTATCACCAGTCACCACTAAAAACAGCACCAGCTCATGTCTGAGTTTGAGCCCAGGCTTATACATCATCATCATCATGTTTCACAAAACCTGTGCTTCATATTGTTGTGAAAGTGTTCAGGAACATTTGTCAAGGCTGTGGATTAAAGGTAATGTAGAGAATAATAATAAACCTAAATGTATCATCAGGGGACACAGGTGTAAAAAGTAGTTTGCAGTGTAAATACTGTCAATTGGGCAGTACATTTTTAATTAAATTATGTACATTTTATGTAATAGAATACCTTTTAGGTCAATGAGTTAAGTGAATGCCCCAGTTATTAGCTAAATTACCTAAATTAAAAAAAAAATGAAAGTCAACTACGTCTTAGGAGTTAATTGGCAGCAAATTTTCATTTTACATGAACTATCCATTAAAAATTTACAGTTCAGATTGAGTTTTGTTATGCGTAAGACCTCAATCTATCAACAGGAGACAGGTATAAAAAGGTAGTTTGCAGTGTAGTTATTGTCAATTAGGCAGTATCCTTAACTTAAATTCTGTTCATTGTATGTGAAAATCTACATTAAGTATTAGTATACCTTTTAGGTTAATGGGTTAAGTTAATGCCCCAGTTACAAAGATACAGATTAAAAAATAACAATAAAAATTCAACTACATCTTAGGAGTTAATTGACAGAAATTGTTAATTTTTTCATTAAATGTTAACTATTCATTAAAATTCCAAAATGTAACAGTGCAGATTGCAATACCTAGATAAAAAACATATTAATTCAGCTTTTCCAAAAGTTTGATTAAAAGATTTATTTTTTATAATACCCATTAAATGCTAAAATATCTAAGAAAACATGCTTTTGTGGGAACTGAAGAAGCTCCATAAATAAGACAAGTCTCTATTGAGCTGAGCATTCTTATCAACATCACATGTTAGCAAGTCACCTGCTGCATAATTTCTTGACCAAGTTTAAGGCAGAGTTTAGATTTTTGAAATAAAAATAGAGTGAAAATGCCTCAGCTGATAGTTTTGGAAGAAAAAAAAAAACATCCTGCAGAAGAACAAACCTGGAGGACACGAGCACTCCTGCGTTGCTTCTCGAGCTGTGCGAATCTTCGACACTCCATCTTTCAGTCTCTGAGAAAATAAATTTATATTTATAGAACACATTTTTAAAAACTCACGCTTAAAAAAACTAGTTAAAGTTAATCTTAACACGATTTTAATCCACAAAAAATAATAAAATACCTGTGAAACAACCAAGTTTCACTTTTTATAACATAAATTTCCCAATTAGCATATTTTCAAAGTGTTACATAATAAATGAATGTTATTCACAGAACTGTTATTTACAGCTTAATGCTTAAAATATTCTCCTCACCTCTTGCACAAGTTTCTCTATCGCATCCCACAGAGTCGCGTGCTCATCCAAGGTCGCGCGCACAGGTTGAATCACAGTCAGTCGCTCCATCTCCAAAACTTCCATTTTGCGCTCAAGTTCAGATGTTTTGACGTTCATAAAGAGACAGATTGCCACCGACGACGCCGACAGCATGAAGCACACGAGGGTCGTTGCGCAGTGGAATAAGTGTGTAGTATGATGTCCATTGCTGTGTAATGTCTTTGACACTTCTTTTGAATCCTCGGTTGAAACCATTTTTAGCTTTACAGATCTCTGACAGTATTATCCTCGTTCTTCAATCCTCTTTTGATACTCTGGTAGATGTTTATTTCTGTAACGCGGAGTTTTCTAGCTTCAGCTGACAGGAGACGCCGTTGATGTGACGCACACGAGGAGAGCGCGCGCCTCGTACTGAAAGAACGGATGGTCGCGTGCTTCAGTGACTGCTTAAATGTTTCCCTGTGAAGTGTCTCAGAGAATGTAGTCAGCCCCTTTCTCGCTGCTGAACTACCGTCAAACAAAACAATGCAAAACGACAGTGTGCGAAATGGGAGTGTGTATGTGAGTGTGTCTTCTCCCACTCCTACCCGCCCTAGAGGTCAAGTCAAGCCAAAAGGTTGACGAGGCTCTTACGAGGTATGTATTATTTTACTTTAAAACCAAGCATGTATTTAAAGTGTTTTGGTAACCAACAACTGGAGCTGAAGCTACAGGTAAATAAACAAGATGTCGAAGCGAACTAAAATTTTTACTTAAAGGGATAGTTCACCCACAATGAAAATTTACTCACTCATGCTTCCAAATCTTTGAGTATCTTGAGTGTGTTAAACACCAATAAAGATACCTTGAAGAAAGATAAAAAGCTGTAACTATTGACTTTCCTAGTCGGAAAAAGAAAATACATTATAAGTCAATGGTTACAGGTTTCAAGCTTTCTGCGAAATATCTTATTTTGTCTTTATAGCAGCAGACGTCTAAACGGTTAGGGAAATTACAGAATTTTTATTTTTGGGTTAACGTTTATATGTACAGTGCTCAGCATATACAGTTGAAGTCAGCATTATGAGCTCCCCTGAATTATTAGCTCTCCTGTTTATTTTTTTCCCAAATTTCTGTTTAAAAGGAGAGATTTTCTACAACGTTTCTAAACATTATAGTTTTAATAACTCATTTCTAATAACTGATTTATTTTATCTTTGCCATGATGACAGTAAATTATATTTGACTAGATTTTTTTTTTTTTCAAGACACTTCTATACAGCTTAAAGTGACATTTAAAGGCTTAACTAGGTCAATTAGGTTAGGCAGGTAAGGGTAATTAGGCAAGTCATTGTATAACGATGGTTTGTTAAAGAGGCTAATAATTTTGAGCTTAAAATGGCTTTTAAAAAATTCAAATTAAAAACTTTTTTATTCTAGCCGCAATAAAAAAGAGTTTTTACAGAAGAAAAAAATATCAGCAATAATGTGAAAATTTCCTTGCTTTGTTAAACATCATTTGGCAAATATAAAAAAAGAAAAAAAAATCAAAGGGGAGCTAATAATTCTGACTTCAACTGTACAAGTACATCCTTCACAAATCTCTATTTTAATTTTATATTTTTATTTGGAAGCTATATGATATTATATTTGTGCATAAACATTAGATTATTCAGTACTGAAGCCAAATCTGGAGCTCATCCAACAAAATAACTTAAGATAATGGTCCAAAACTAGTACACCCAAAGTTATATATTATGGAAAAATATTAAATACAAATCAAGAAAATAAATAAAAATCAAGATAAAAATTTTATTTTTTGCAATATTTTGCTTGAATTTAATTTTATTATCTTTCAATTCTCAAGATGTTTGACTAAAATATTATTTTAATAAATGTAGCTGTTAAATAAATCAGCACCAAAATACATTGCTTATATTCACTGAGAAGTGGATAAAAATATTCATTTTCAAAATATGGTGTACTCAATTATGCTGAGCGCTGGATGTTCAAAATAATTTCACTTCATGATTGCATATTAGAAATATATGCAAAACTAAACATAAAATACATTAAAAAAAGTGTTTCCCCTAATAAAAAAAAAGTGCATAGGCCTTCTACTCATACACACATCCTTACATCAAATCTGTAAATTAAACTTAACGTGAATAAACAAATGAAACTAAGCATTTTTTTCTGTGTAGTTAAGAAAATACAAAAGGTTATTTTTTTAAATTATGGTTGTGATGACAGATTTCACATATAAACTCCTTATCTATATGTAAATTTACTAAAACTTGTGCAATTACCATACTAATGTTTTCCACATATAACTTTTTTTCTTTTGAGTTTTGTCTAGGCATGGGCCGGTATAAGACTCTAACGGTATGGTAACCTTAGATAATAAAAACAATAGTTTTACGATATCACAGTATTGTGACTGCACTAAAATAAGTTATTTTTAAATGCCTGGGTAAAAAAAACAACAACTTCTTCCCCCCATTGAACACAATATACTTTAATATAACAATCATTTAAAATATTTTGGACCAGCAGCTTTAAATGTAGAGGTTCATTTTCTGCTGGAGATAATGTAGCTCTAAAAAAACTAAATAAAATAGTAGAGAAAAGCATGTTAAAAAAAATAACAACTTACAATTACCTTATGAATGGTATAACAGAAAACTGTGGCGGTTTTAAAACCGTGAAACCGGGTATCGTCCCATGCCTGGTTTTGCCTTGGTCGACAATGTTTGTATCCACAAAGTACAATTTGAATTGCGTAAAACGAACTTAAAAGAAACCTGCCAATGTGAATAAACTTATGCCTATGATAAAGTGCCTCCAAAACAGAGTCAGCTCGCATTAACTAAACCACAAGCTTATAGGAATACAGCAAAAATCTTTTTTGTGAATACCACATTACATGACACTTTGAATGTCAAATTATTGGTGCTTTATTGCACAAATTATAGTATTTATCTATCTGTAATAAAGAACACATATTAGACTTGCAGCCAAGAAAATTAACTTTACATCTTGCGAAATCTCAATACTTTCTCCACATGATGTCCATATGCTGTCCAAAAGAACAAACTCTAGTGTTAGCATCTGGAAAGATAGGCTCGGTGGTGCCCTCTGCAGGACATAAAATGCATCATTTAGTTCATCAGTTTTCTAATTAGATTTTAGAAAAAACCCTAAAAACACACTGTAATTGCTCTGAATGTGAGTTTAATATTATTAAAAACAAGAAAAAAAAGACACAAATCATGTGCAAAGCATTCAAGTTTTATTTGCCAAAAGTACTTTGGAAATTGGCCCATATATTCAAAGAGACAATAAATATGGACAGAGATAATGCAGGCAGTCTTAAAGCAGACTGATACAGTCAGCGGCAGTCTCCCTGGGAGCAGTAATGTTCATTCAGTGTCGCCTCCAAGTCACTTTCTCGCTTTTCTTAACGGGTTAAAAAAAGGATGCCCGATGGCCTGCTCCAGGGTAATTCGTTTGGATGAATCGTACTCCATCATCTTCTGCAGCAGGTCAAAAAGCAGCTCGTGCTCCGGCGTTTTAGAAGACATGTATTGCTGAGTAAGAAGATTTAAGAATGTTATTTTCTAGGCAATCCAAATAGTAGTAAGTCTGTTAGTCTGTTACACACTGGCATGAGATCATCTCCAGAAGTACTACTCAAGGAATTTAAGCATTACAAATAGTGCATTTACTGTGGTCAAAAATTAAAGCATACTGGAATTTATAACCAAAAAACACAACCATCAATTTAGAGAAAAGTAAAATGGTCCAAAACATCAACATTTTGTACTTGTGCATATAAACAGAACATTAGTAAAGTATTGCTTAAAATAATGTTCAAAAGAAGTGTGTATTAGCAATTTAATGTACGATTTTGGAATTCAGGAATAAGTTTTAGTGTTCAGTATGATGATCTTTACCTTTAGAGGTTTACAGTGTTTCCTCACATATCTCCCAGCTGAGCTGTGCTCGTCCCAATCCAGTTTGTCATGATGTACATAGCGCCGCTTCCTGACAAAAAAGCAGTCATGCATTAGTCAAACACAGATCCAAAAGCATTTTAATCAAGTAAAAAAAAGCCTTTAGAAACATACACGCATCAAGCAGTTCTCAATTAGAACAGATACCCTAAAAATGTGCTCAAGTATTCAAATTTAAATGTGCAGATTGTTATTACAACAAAAACTGACAATTAATTAATTTAGGTCATCCAAACAGACTGAATCAATGTTTCCTCTCTAGCATCTCTTTATAATCAACCACCATTAAAAGAAGAATCAAGTGAAGTTTTCAATACGCTGGATTACAGGCATAAAAGCCTTTTTTGTTGTTTTTATTCCCGTTTATTCACTTAATGAGTGTTTAAATGTATTTGCCCAGATCCCCTGATGTGTGCATTTCTCGCTCTCCCATGTGTTAAGCTCCATCCCACTTACAAGAGAGATTTAAGCCCTTTTTTATAATTTATTTATTATGCCATTGTGCCATCAATTAAAATAAAAAAAATTTATAAAAATTATATATATATATATATATATATATATATATATATATATATATATATATATATATATATATATATATATATATATACACAGTTCAAGTCAGAATTATTAGCCCCCTTTGTTTTTTGTTTTTTTTATATTTCCCAAATGATGTTTAACAGAGGAAGAAAATTTTTACAGTATGTCTGATAATATTTTTTCTTCTGGATAACGTCTTATTTGTTTTATTTCAGCTAGAATAAAGCATTTTTTAATTTTTCATGAACAATTTTAAGGTCAATATTAATAGCCCCTTTAAGCATTTTTTTTCTACTGTTTACAGAACAAACCATCGTTATACTGACTTGCCTAATTACCCTATCTTGCCTAGTTAACCTAATTAACCAAGTTATTAGAAATGTTATTAGAAATAACAGTAGTTAGAAATTAGTTATTAAAACCCAATTTGTTTAAAAATGTGTTGAATAAGCCTTCTCTTCGTTAAACAGAAATTTGGAAAAAACCAAACAGGGGGGCTAATAATTCTGACTTTAACTGTGTGTGTGTGTGTGTGTGTGTGTGTGTATGTATATATATATATATATATATATATATATATATATATATATATATATATATATATATATATATATATATATATATATATATATAGAAAGAGAGGTAAGGAGGGAGGGAGGGAGAGAGAGAAAGAGAGAGACACAGAATATAGCTTTTTATATACAATATAGCCAAAGTCATCCAAGACTCTGATCACTCTAATTTAGATTAAAGGCGTACAAAGGCATATTTTGATGACATCGTGACTGAGAAACCACGTGACCGTGAAATCACAGAAGTGAATGGCTTCCTTACATCCTATGGGACGTCTAAAGAAATCATGTTCATAAATAAGCTAAAGTGTTCAAACCGTATTATCCTGGTAGTATGAAACAGAGTAAAGCTGAATGCTGTTAAAGCAAAGCAAGAGCGCAGAAGCAATTGCTAATGAAAGAAAAACATTGGATCTTTAAGCTTTTGCAATTACTGAATTAATTTAACAGATTAACTGAAAATAATCAACT